GATTGGTAGTTTCATTTTCCATTGAATTTCGCATAGTCTTGCTTTGCCAAAAGATGTTTTCCTCCCGCGAGGTCGAAACTGCCTTTCGGGACAGTAAGGCTATGTGCAACTCATATGATTGTGGGAAAAAATTTAACTACCAGTCTTTCATCATTTCCACAGTCATACCGTGGACATGGTGCATTGCCACACGTTTCGCCGACATCGTCAGTGAGTCTTACCAGTCTTGGCAGCACACGACAACTCGTCAAAGAGACAAGTTAAGTCGACCCTTTGACCAATTGTCGGCTAAACAGTTGTGGTATCTCTTCTTCTGTCGGGCGAGTCAAACAATTGCCACATCACACTAACATCGTGTGTTTCCGATGGCGAATGACTCGCTTTGAAATGCCGTCAACAATGGAAACAGTTCCGGGCTAAAACAGGTAGACGACATCTTCTCATTGTTGATCGAAATGGCAAAAGCTATTTGGGTAGATTTCAAGAAAAACTCTTCAAAAATAGCTAATACCGTTTTGCAGCCTACCTGCGTGGTGATGCCGACCTGTCAGGGATCAGTCTCCCCGTCCATATGCTTCAGTAACAGACCCATAGAGACTGTGCAAATAGTCCACTTTTATACTACTTATATACTGATAAGTAAATTAATTGCAATATCGCAAAAGTGCTAATTAATGGACCAATTTCGTGCATTACCAAGGGCAGACAGCTCGACTAGAAATGGCATCAGCATTGGAAAAATGTTGAGAGATCAAACCTGTCGACAACTTCGCTTCATTATGATTATACAGGATTGACCAGATAGTTTGTATTCTATACCAGACTGATTTTAAATAGTAATTTGTATCACCTTTGCAACCAAACTGCGTCTGCAAGACAACTTTCACCACTCTTCGGCGTCGGTGACATTGAAATGTCATTCGACGGTGAGATGTTGCAAGACGACATGTCAACAACGGCAGTGGACGCCGTTTAGGGACTGTTTACAAAGAAGCCACGCCGTCTCGGTCGTCATGTCTACCAGATTTGCTGTTCAGACTGACCGCGAAAACAGAGACAAAGGGGCTACAAAACATGTCACTTCTTTCAGTTGGGCCCGCTTCACGACGACAGATCTCGCGTAAACCCTGTCGCCAGGCGTGTCCCGAGCGGACGGGATTCGGCGCAATAGGAGGTACCAGAAGTGGTACAACATACCATAAACGGGAAATCCACTCTCTGAATCCTCCGGACATTCGAGTCAAAGGTGCTGTGCAGCTGCAGGTTGACTGTGTAGTAGTGGTCATGAAAGAAGGCGATACAGAACAGCGAGATTCCGGTTAGTAGCAATGCGAAGAAGAGCGTGATTGCGATCCTCTGGCGCCATTTCAGGTCGTACCACCAGCCGCCGGTGAGGAAAATCTTGTTCGTCACAGTTCGTTTAGGCATTCTCGTGAACGGCCGGTGCCTTCGCCGTAATCTTGCCTGATTATCGACCAGACGGCGACAATAGCGCCTTTTGAAAGGGGCATTCAGCACACAAAGTATACGTTTATGAATAAAATCAGCATGGCACTGACTACTCACTGTTACTGCCAGTAGTATAAATAAAGTCAGCATAAATTTAGCAAGATTGATGTCTCATGTTGATTAGGACGGCCGACAGTGGCTATTTGGTTAGAGAGAGAGAGTTTGCGAATAAAATCATCACAACACTGACTACTCACAATTAACTGTCATTGTATAAACAGAATGAATACAAATTCGGCAATCCCGATGCCTGAATGCATTTCATTCGCAGACTGAAAGGAGGTTGATGACTTGTTTATTCGCAAGCCTGCAGAAATGCATGACACTTAGATCTTTGGGGGGCAACAGAATTTCTCCTCAAATCGAGGGACATGACATTTGCACTTGGTCTCGGGTAGACAACGGAATATCACAAAAGTCAAAACAGTATTTTAACGCATAATGCATCAAATTTGGTTAAAATAATTCGGACAATAACGCCAACCTGGAATGATGTAGGCTTCAAATATGCATATACTGAAGGGTTCTTGCGATCATTAGCAGAAAGTGGAAAGCATAAAGAATTGAGAAGTTGAGATTAAAGTATCAACTCAGTTGAGTGCTTAAAAGGGAAAGGTGAATAACTGCTAGTGGCAGCAGCGAGTTCTATACTTGCATACCATCAAAGC